AATTCTTCAAAGAAAATCCAGAAATAAATAAAATAAGGAAATTGTATCGAGTACCAATCAAAACATGAGTCTAAATGATTAAGATTGACGAGAAATTCTAGTGCATCGCACACTAAAAATTATCGTGATCAGCCCCACAGATTACTGGTGATTAGAAATCAGAGCATTTAAGCAAGAGTTTCATTGATGAGACCAAAGAATTGGTGCTTCAATAAAGTCAGCATTGGGTTGAGATGACGCTAAGAATATCATCGTACACTCAGAGAAAAAGGTGAGACATTGTCCGAATCGCGATGCAATTTTGCCCTCATATAGGCCAATCTAGTCCAGCAGAAGGGCGTATCAGTGCTTGGCGCACAAAGTATGTCACTATTTGGACAATATGACCTAGTAATGTATTCAAGTTTTGACGCGGTATTTTCACCACCTGAAACATGGAACAAAACGGAAACTGAAAAATGAATTCCACTTGGAAACTGCCTCCTACGGAACGTCTGCAACACTCACAAAAATACGAGTAAATTCTTGTCCAAATAGCGACACTTTTTGAACGTAGCACTGCAACACCCTCTTGCTGGACCAAACCGGGTCAGGATTACCCACAGAAGGGTAAAAAGTATATAGCTATTAAGACAAAGACCCTTCATTTCTCTGGGTGCCGCATGCCGCAGAAGCTCTCTACCTGCTCCACTCAGGATAGAAATCCGTCCATGCAGGACCCACGGATCGGCACGAATTATATCCGTAAACCACCGGGTTATTGATCGTTGCCATGCATATGGTCTCCCGTGAACAGAAAATAGTGTCAAGATTACAAAGTACTATGAAGAAGTTGAATAACAATATCCCCTTTGTTTCGTACCACGTTGAATCTTATGCACAGTGAACCATTTAGTTCATTTAATCTCAGAGAAATGAGTGAGACATTGTCCCAGTAGCGATTCATTTTGCCATTGTGTTGGTCATCCTGACGCAGTTTGACCCAGAAAAATAGCGTATCAGTGCTACAGAGGAATGTGTAGTAAGTATGTCACGATTCGGACAATTTTACCCACCCATTTTATTATTCTATGTATGTATAGTAGTGAACTGTACACGTCCGTTAAACTATTGAACACATTCAAATAGTGTTCAATTATGTTCAATAGTGTTCAATAGTGCTCAATAGTGTTCAATAGTGCTCAATAGTGTTCAATAATGGCTATTGAACACTATTGAACGCTTTCAAATAGTGTTCAATAGTGTTCAATAGTGGCTATTGAACACTATTGAACATTAAAAGAGTGTATTTTTCGTGACCATTACAACAAACATTATTTACTTGTCGGAATGGATATATTATTTTTGTTAGTGGATATATGGTATATGGAACTTATCCGCGTGGAAACATAATAGTGAGGTCAAGAGGACGTAAATAGTGATGACTCAATAGTGTACATACAAGACCGCACTCGATATGATAAGAATGACGGTGAGCTCATAGCACAAAGTCCAGGTTGCGAGTGCAGGACTTGTCAAAAACACCTACAAGTTCACGTTTATGATCAAAGGTAAAGGGTTAATAGAATTTCGCTATCGATCAAATTCGAAAGCGTCAATGCATTAAATGACTTGTCAATACATACTAGCAACTCAAGGTCCACGTCTCTTATCGAAGATAAGGGTTCTCTAGGACTTCACTATCGATCAAAGTCAAGATCGTGAAGATTTGGAATAGAAATATCGTCAAGATAAACGCATTTAGATTCGCTGGTGGGGATACGCGTTCAGCAGTACACTCTGCACACGTACAGCCGTCACTCTGCACACGTACAGCAGTACACTCTGCACACGTACAGCCGTACTCTTCACACGTACAGCAGTACACTCTGCACACGTACAGCCGTACACTCTGCACACGTACAGCCGTACACAGCTCACATGCACAGCACAACACACGTGCGCAGCTCACGTACATGCAGGCGGGACGGGGCGTGCGCTCACACCAGGTTCGGCTTGAAAGGTAAACTTGCACGAGGTTATTAATTTCCGAGGGAATTATCTGCACTGCAACTATACTTCTCAAATTTGAATCGATAAATTAAGAAATTACATAAGGTACAACTTAAAACGTCAAACTGAATATATACCGTTAGTAAACGATATCAATGTTCAGTATATATTCCTCGTTAAAAATCCACAATTTTTACTCAAAAAAGCATAGTCCTCTTCTGGAAGATTATGATTTATAATTAAAAGCTGTAAAACACAATTAAATTGAAAGCTGCGAAAAAATACTATCACCAAATTCGTAAATAATCTACAACACACAGCGTTGGCCGGTCGGAAATTGAGAACATGTTCCCATTTTGAATAATGTCTTATTACACATGTGTATGAATTAACATTAATATTACTAACGTAAAGCAAATAATGATATGGCCGAAGGGCACCAAAACGATCACGGCACGGAGCAGTCGGCAGCAACACACGTCACCTCACGAAGGCCGCGATGACACTGCTTGCTGATCAGCTGACAGACCAGCAAAACTACGTGAACAGCACATGGCCGCGAGTTATGCACAGCTAAAACTCATGCATTTCTTCCCTTCATGATATAAATAAATGATAAATATCTTTATATTACATTTGAAAATTAAAATAAATAAGGTGTCTTTAAAAGCGTGTGAATAGATTGTTACAGATTGACTGATTAACGCTTTATGATATGAATAACTGACTTGTCCAGTAATAACTCAATTTTATTCGAAAGCGTGTGAATAGATGACTATAGGTTGACGAATAGATCGCTTGATGATATAAATAAATATCATACGTAAATAATACTACAGTAAATATCCTCATAATCGTGCGAATAGATGACTACAGGTAGACGGATACTAAGCATTGCGCAAGAATCACTTCAGCCGTTCAGAGAAACGGACGTCCGGGACTAGTTTCCTTCAGCGCGGTCAGTAAATCCTGAAACGTCAATTCTTATCTTTTTTGAAATCGTGGATCCGCCTATCTGTTTTTAAATCAATCAATTTATCTGTTGACATCAATCAATCTGTTGAAATCAATAAAATCAATCTGTTGAAATCAAACAAACTATTTCAATCAATTTTTTGTATCAATCAATCTGTTTGTTTATCAATCAATAAATCTATTTTGAAATAAATCCTGAAACATCAATTCGTATCCTTTAGAGCAGTCTTTATTTAGTGCACTATAATAACTCGTCTCTCATGCCTACTCTATTGCGGCCATGCAAAAAAAAAAAAGAAAGATATTAAGCATTAATGAGGAGACAACCATAGTTGGAGGTTTTGACATCGTTGCCGGAATTTCTTAGAGCGTGGATAGAACAATACCAGCGAAATAAAATCTTATAATTGGGGAACAAACATCCCTTCATTATACAGTCGCTAAGCCTGAATGGAACCGCATTCGTAGTTTTATGAGATTTGATGCACAAAAATAACATGAGTAAACTCAACCCGGAACGTTCAACTGCAAATGACGGAAAATAATACGCAGTACATTCATAACTCGTACAAAAATGCAGGCATTCCTAGCCTATATCTGATAATAAACAATAGCTATCAGCAGGAATCGTACTGTCTAAACTCGCTTAGGTATACATAGCGGCCCAAGTACACGTAGCTGCCCCAGTACACGTAGCGGCCCTAGTACACGTAGCTGCCCCAGTACACGTAGCTGCCCCAGTACACGTAGCGGTACATTTGCCGTGTGAGATTGGCATTAGCTCGAAGAGCCGCCAGTGATTGTCTGACGTATTTACTTACTCTTGATTATTTCTGATAATTAAGAAATAATCAAATTTCCATCAAGTAATAATCAATATCCCACACCCACACCTCTACTGGCAGCTGCAAACAACACCGCGTTATCGATCACACACATTAGTCCATTGACAGCATACGGAATAGATATGAATAGATAACCAAGTGCGTTCTGTATACGCACCAGTCACCACATACAGAAGATTTATAGTAATACGAAAACTCGGCTCAATTGTAAGGCATTTGGCCCGTGGACCTTCACTACTGTTCCCGCTCCTGTCTCTTATACACATCTAGATGTGTATAAGAGACAGGTGTAGCGAGTGTGAAGGTGTAGCGAGTGTGCAGGTGTAGCGAGTGTGCAGGTGTAGCGAGTGTGCAGGTGTAGCGAGTGTGCAGGTGTAGCGAGTGTGCAGGTGTAGCGAGTGTGCAGCTGTAGCGAGTGTGCAGGTGTAGCGAGTGTGCAGGTGTAGCGAGTGTGCAGGTGTAACGAGTGTGCAGGTGTAACAAGAAGTGTTCACAGTAAAGCTATAGCAGGTGTCGCAGCGTGACACGTGAGCGTGACGACCGCAGGTGTCAAGCCTCGCACTGTCATGTTGGGCGCTCCAGACAAGGTCGCGAGTACACACATAATAAAACCGTATAGCAGAAATTAAGTTTTTATATTAATTTTAAATAATTTATAAGGCATGCATTCTAGAGCGGAACCAGAGATTATTTATTAGATAGGAAATATAGTCACAGGACGATGATTCTTCACAAGAAGGATAGCAATATATGTACAACTGTAGGGGTATTCAAATTTAAATGGATTTATGCGTTTGGGAACCTTGTAAATAAGGTCACGGTAATTTAGCATGTCGCACTTGCGTCATTCACTAACATTCACATTCGGCACGGACTTTAACCACGGCGTTGGTGATCCTGCTGAGCGTTGCCCTCACATTCGGTATACTCACATTGAGAGGGATGCCCTCACATTCGGTACTCACGTTGAGAGGGTTACCCACACATAAGGTACTCACATTGAGAGGGTGGCCCTCACATTCGCTACTCACATTCAGAGGGTTACCTTCACATTCGATACTCACATTGAGAGAGTTACCCTCACATTAGGTACTCACATAGAGAGGATTACCCTCGCATTAGGTACTCACTTCAAGATTCACATTAGGTACTCACATTGAGAGAGTTGCCGTGACATTAGGTACTCACATTAACCATGGCGTTGGATGAGATCCTAAATAAAGTAGCTCTCTCATTAACAGTCTTCATCTTGCTGACGAGATCATCTCGCGAGGCGTCGCTGGCCTCGAGCTCAGCGAGACTCTTGTGGAGGGCGGCGGCGTGCTTCACGATCAGGTCGTTACATGTGCGCAGGTCGTCTAGACGAGACTGGAACGCCTGCTCATGTAATTCATACCAGGAATTAATACTACTTAATTAACAGGAGCATTTATTGGACGCCTGCACAGGTAAATTATAGCGGCCATTAGCCCTTTAGCAAACATTGAAATATCCAGAAATTAAAATTTCAGAAACCATTTCAAGAAAGTAAGAAGTATTATACAATATATTTATTTCTATGAATTTTTGCAAATTCTGCCTATTGAAGGTTTAAATCGTACTTGAAGAATTCAATAGATGCAATCAGTACACAAAATTTTTCTTTATAATTAAAATTCAGTTAATGCAAATGAAAAATTGGAAACCTAAAATTTAATTTAATTAAATTTAATCAAGTTGCCAAAATAAATAAATATATATACCTATTGATATTTCCACCTTTTGAAGAAAATGCGGAAAGAGCGTCAATTCCATAGTCCGAGTCAAAACCTTCATTTAAATGCTCATATTTCAAATTGTGGACTTAGCAGCTGGTGATGGTCAGATAATTAGGGATTGACTGAGGCACTCACTATAAGGATGCCTCAAAAACAAACGAAGCCGTGGTGAGGCTTTCTGTGACGNACAGGGGGTGGTGACGGCACAAACAGGGGGTGGTGACGGCACAAACAGGGGGTGGTGACGGCACAAACAGGGGGTGGTGACGGCACAAACAGGGGGTGGTGACGGCACAAACAGGGGGTGGTGACGGCACAAACAGGGGGTGGTGACGGCACAAACAGGGGGTGGTGACGGCACAAACAGGGGGTGGTGACGGCACAAACAGGGGGTGGTGACGGCACAAACAGGGGGTGGTGACGGCACAAACAGGGGGTGGTGACGGCACAAACAGGGGGTGATGACGGCACAAACAGGGGTGGTGTCGGCACAAACAGGGGGTGGTGAGGGCACAAACAGGCAGGTGGAGTGGCAGTAGTACGAGTGGTAGTAATGGCACGGAGAATGGTAGCATGCCATGCATGACTCATTTGCATGATCATCATGCAGCCACATAGAACAGACTGATGCTTTAGTCCAAAGTCAAACGCGCTTGAATAACTGCATTGACCTATACATTCAATTATGATGATGGGAAAAATATTAAACGTTTTCGAAAAGTTTTATCCCAAGAACATGAGAATATTAAACGCTTGGAAACACAGCTTGACTTAGGTCATTATTTTCCTATGCGTGTTACGAAATTATCTCGATTCATAAATACGAATCTATTTGAAGAAGTTATTCAATTATTTGTATAAAAATCATCAGAGTAGGAAATGACCAATAGTAAAAATTATTTATATACTTTTCGGTGTAAAAGTTTATCTATTGCCACATTTCAGTGTGAAACGAAGAGACCACGAAGCCTTCAAAACCCTAAACATTCAAAACAAAATTCGCGTCTATTCACCGGAATCTGTGTAGAACTCAGCACTGGGGGACACATTTTTGGTGCGCCGCAATTTTTCGGACACCCACCGGCGTAGCATGGCGCGGTACAGCGAACACTTGAGTTCTAAAGCGGCCTTTACTTCAACAAACCGAGAACCACGACGCCGAGCTACAACCATAACTAGCTCACCGCCACACTAGCAAGGGTAACTCTCTTTTACTTAAATCTTTCCCGAGATAACGATTGCGATAGGATAACGATAAAGATATGAAGATTACGAGTTAGATATAGGAAGATTACGATAAAGGTAGGAAGACTACGATGAAGATAGGAAGGTTACGATAAAGATAGGAAGACGACACCGGAAAGAAGGTAACACTAGAAATTCTACACGGAATTTTGACCACGATGACTTGTCCAAAAAAGCTATTGAAATTAGCTATTACTGATACGTTGTTGACGATAGCACGCCGATAGATGGTCAATAGGGAAATTAATGTGGATAGTACCTAACGCTTTATAGAGGCCAACGCTAACGCAAGCGGGAGTAACGCAAAGGAAACAAATGATAATATATTAATTAATAAATTAACAGTTACTAGTTAATATCATAAATAACAAGTTAATTACGAAAAAACACTGCGCGGAAATAAGTCATAGCTGCAAGGGATAGAAAACTCTGATAAGACAAATGCGTTATCGCGGTTATCAATCCTTCCTATAATAAGATTTAAACAGCTGATAACGACGCTCATACGACTATAGCGTAATGCATTTAAGACGAATAGAAATAGATAAAAAATTCACGAATATTAGCATCATTTCGGTTTATATTTCTATTCCTACAGGCTACAACAGCGAGGGATTTCGCCCAAAAATTATTGCGAAATTCAAGTATTTTACTGGATTAACATAAACGATTTCAAGACGGTGAAGAACATGGAGCACAAAAGAATCTTGTATAAATGAATGATCCTTAGATGGATAAATATCAACCTTCTTCGGTAAATTTACGACTCAACAACTAAACATGAAAAATTTTAATGCGATCTCGCATTTAATCGACTTGGCTACAACTGAACTGGATCTCACGACAGACGGAAGAAACCAATATTAAAATATTTCTTCACCTATTTCTGTCTTACAAATTTCACTCCTATTACGAATTAGTTCCAAGAAGCAAATTTGTAACGAGAGATTGAAGAAGGCTGACATGCGAGAACAAATTCAACAGCACAACTGGCACAAAGCTGAGACAGACCCGAGAAGCCGACCCGCACACTTGAGTCAACACATCAACAGAGGCAAGATGTCTTCAACAGCTGCGAACGAACTCAGCAAACTTAAGATAGTCTACATTCGCAAAAATGTATGGGTCATATTGAACAAATAGTGACAGACTTTTTATCCTGCAGTCACAAGCAAAGAGTTGGCACTGCCACGCCCTTTCCATGGATCGGGATGATCCATCCACGAGGGCAAGATGCGCATCAATATTAGGCCAACGTCTCACTCATTTATCTGATGGTAGAGGTTCAGGCCTGTGCGAACTGCAGCTATAGTCAAAAGCTTAAGTGCAGCTGGCCCTGCCAAGACTATTGCCTCTGAAGTTCTAGATTGAATTGATATTTTGTTAGGACAATCGGAAAATTGTAAGTATATGATGCACATTTGCATAGAGAAGACAAGACCGAAATAAGCACACATACACATGTTGAATTGACACAAAATCCTAGAAGTAGAGAGATTAGCAAACGCCACTCTGGCTCAACAGGACCATAGTTAAGCGTGCACCAAGATTTATTTATTGTTATCAATACATGAGAATTTATCAACAAATCTTGTGGTTAGACTGAATTTTCTGATTCAAGATCTGTTCTTAGTTCCCTATCACTATCCAATCAAGGAAAATTTTGGTCCCTTGGATAAGTAAAACAATTGATATTCACATTTAAGAATAGGTAATATGATGATAATTAGCTGTAAATCAATAGTAAAATCCTAGAAGTAGAGAGATTAGCAAACGCCACTCTGGCTCAACAGGACCATAGTTAAGCGTGCACCAAGATTTATTTATTGTTATCAATACATGAGAATTTATCAACAAATCTTGTGGTTAGACTGAATTTTCTGATTCAAGATCTGTTCTTAGTTCCCTATCACTATCCAATCAAGAGAAATTTTGGTCCCTTGGATAAGTAAAACGATTGATATTCACATTTAAGAATAGGTAATATGATGATAATTAGCTGTAAATCAATAGGATGGTAAAAATTTTTCACATTTACAGAAAATTCCAACGTCAAAAAAAGTTCCAAAATGTCTAATAAAGAAGCAAATATCTAGCAAGATAAAATTGTTGAGCCATAAAATTCATCATAACTGTTAAATAATACCCCATCTCTAAAACAAAAATACTTTTGAGGCAAAAACATGCAAATATAGTGATTTAAAAGATTCAATTAACTCACCACTATCCAATATGCGCACAGCTTTAGCCTTGGCCAGCTCCAGTGCGGTGACCCACTTCTGCCTCTCCACCTCAGAGGCAGCCTTAAGATGGAATGTTTGTGTGCCACCGTTGCTGATGACAAAGTTGCATGTGTCTTCAGTGTGGATGATAGCGTCATGGAGACTTAGGTTGCCCCGACAAGTGTGCTGGGCCTCCGCTTGGTTCCTGAAATTATCAACCAGACAAACTTGGTACTAAATTATGATGAAAACGAGAGTGACAATTTTTAGAGTTTCATCATACAATATATAAACAAAAAATTAAACATGATTCGAGAAACTTGGTACTGAATCATGAAAAAAACATGAGTGGAAATTATTTTAATTTCATCATGCAATATATCAGTGGTTCCCAAAGTGAGCGATATTGCCCCCTGGGGGCGGTGGAAAGATCTGGGGGGTGGTGGAAAGATCTGGCGGGGGGGCGGCGAGGAAGAAAAGAGCAGTAAGGGGGCGGCAGTCCACGAAGTCGAAGTCATAAGTTTGTACGTTCATTTGACAATTTGTACAGAACAGACTTGGCCTGAACACAACCATGGGCCTGAACACAACACAAGGTGTTTGAACTCTGACTACCACTTTTCCCCATTTCAAAAATTACTCATAAGCCATGGTTTGGGACAATACAATTAGCATGAACATACAATTAGTGAATGGCAGAGGATTGATAATGTTGCCAAAAACATCAACCATGAGATGTTGTGGGCCTCTTTGAGCACAGATTCACGTTTACTTTCAAGTTTTTACTTAAATTAGTCAAGCACCATTCAGACATAGGAATGGGTGAAATTGGCCATCCAAATGGTGCTACACTTAAGAAATTAGTCAAGCACCATTTGGACATAAGAATGGGTGAAATTGGCCAGAAGGATGGTGCTACACTTAAGAAATTAGTCAAGCACCATTTGGACATAAGAATGGGTGAAATTGGCCATAAGAATGGTGCTTTGGCCTCATTCACTGGTAGCTTTGGCTGAATTTTCCTGTTTGATGACTACCTGAAGTGGAAAATTGGGCCCATCCATGAATGAGACAAAAATGGCAAAGGTGAATGCTTGCAATCATTGCAAATCATCTGTGAAATTATCTATTCTGCCTAAAATTCTTGGTAATTTCTGTCCAATATTCCAGAATAGATGATTGCTATAGGTTAAGTTATTTGTATGTACCTACCTATATTTAAGTTTGCATAAAATAAAACATTTTACTTCATTTTATTAGTAATTTTACCATTGCACTTCTTAATGCATTTCTTTTATTTTAGCTGAAGAAACATTGCACTTTTATTGCTATTAGCAAGTGATATTACATGAACAAATGACCTTAACTGCAGGAGGCTGAAAAAGTAACAAAAATTATCATTTTGGCATTTTGGACATTAATATATTTTGTTGAGCATGATAATCCATTATCAATCACAGTAAATGAGATGGAAGCAAATCATATTTAAATAAAACAAATAAAAAAACTTTCAAAAACCATGTTTTCTTAACAGACAAAAAAATAAAAACATTAACTCTTACATAACATTAAAGTTATGTAATGTTAGGTAAGAGTTAAAGTTTTTCTTTTTTGTCTGATAAGAAAATGTGGTTTTTACAATTTTTTTATTTGTTTTATTTCATTGTTTTTTATATTTATTTATTTTCTACTTTATAGTTTAGCAATTTTAGCAATTCAAATCATTTTCCAGGGTTGGATCCTCTGGATGTTCAACAAAAAACTCTATTACCAAACCATGAATTTTTAGGGTTGTTTCCTATCATTTATTTATTTTTTTAACTATTACTTCTGATGATCAAATCTTGATTTGTTAGGCAGCATAAGCATGCATGCCAAATTTCAAGTTTCTAGGATCTTCAGAAGTGCTCTAAATTGAGGTTTGATTTTTTGATGACAGACGGACATGAAGAGAAACTAAGAAAAACGTGGTAAAATGAGGCAAAAATGTCTTCTAGCAGCCCAACGTGGAATATATCTACCTAGTACCTACCTAGCAGGATACAATTCTAGAAATGATGGTTAAATATATCAATTATGATTCACCTTGGCCAGTCTTGCGGTAAAAAAATTTCAGTTAAAGAAAGGAAGGAAAATAGGAGGAATAAAGTTGCAATTGAAGGAATCAAAGTTGAAACACTTTGTTTTCAATATGACTAAATAATAAATGTTAATTAAAGACATGACATGTTGAAAAACTCATGGGAGACAAAATCATTCTTGAGCCTGGTTTTGTTTTCAGTGTTATCTGAAGTGAAGTTGGTAAGACAATATTGAAGAAAATATAAAAAAAATAGTATAAGGATGATTAAAACAATGTGGTTAAACTTTGAAACAACTTTTTATAATTAAATTAAATCTCATTATTCATTAAATTTATTCATTGTAAAATTTAATCTGACATTGCTCTAACAAAGAGTAAAACATCTCCAGATTTTCACAGTGCTTAACCCTTTCACGGGTAAGTTACCATATATGATCACTTGAAATCGCGTCACAGAAAGCCTCACCACGGCTTCGTTTGTTTTTGAGGCATCCTTATAGTGAGTGCCTCAGTCAATCCCTAATTATCTGACCATCACCAGCTGCTAAGTCCACAATTTGAAATATGAGCATTTAAATGAAGGTTTTGACTCGGACTATGGAATTGACGCTCTTTCCGCATTTTCTTCAAAAGGTGGAAATATCAATAGGTATATATATTTATTTATTTTGGCAACTTGATTAAATTTAATTAAATTAAATTTTAGGTTTCCAATTTTTCATTTGCATTAACTGAATTTTAATTATAAAGAAAAATTTTGTGTACTGATTGCATCTATTGAATTCTTCAAGTACGATTTAAACCTTCAATAGGCAGAATTTGCAAAAATTCATAGAAATAAATATATTGTATAATACTTCTTACTTTCTAGAAATGGTTTCTGAAATTTTAATTTCTGGATATTTCAATGCTTGCCCGCTAAAGGGTTAATGATGAGCCATTGGCCATATAAGAATTGGAAATCATCACATCATTTTGTGTGGTACTAAAAATTTGTTGGTATTATTGAAATGGTGAGGCTTTTCTGTAATAGTTGACATAATTTTTTCCTAGAACATACTCATTGCAAAAATTGTTTGGATATGGATAAATTACTAGTGTAGATAATCACGAAAGGCATCAAGGAGATCCACACACAATTAAAATATCTAAGTATGTAGCTTGACATAGGGGATGGAGGTGAAACATTGTAGGCCTTCCAATGCATTTTGATATATAAACATGAGATTATATTACCTATCTAGAATTCCATAATGGCTATTAGAGCTTACCCGCCATATTTGGAGCCATGACGGCATTCTAAATGACCATGCACCTATGTAATTGAGGAGTGTGGTGGCCAAAAATAGGAGAATGCTTGCTCTAATAGGAGAAAGCTGGCTGCGCGCTCCAATACGTGCGTGCTGCCACTGCTGCCAGCCCACCTGTATTGGATTGCAGGGCTGTCCCTGACCCCCACCCCACCTGCTCTTCAAGTGAGTAGCACTGGAGCGCCCCAGCCAACCTGGTGACCAACAATTTCCTATAATTCCAACATGTTTGGAGCCACAAGGTTACCGCTAGATGAATTATCTCTTCATCTAGCAGTAACTCGTACTGTCTAAACTCGCTTAGGTACACATAGCGGCCCAAGTACACGTAGCTGCCCCAGTACACGTAGCTGCCCCAGTACACCTAGCTGCCTCAGTACACCTAGCTGCCCCAGTACATGTAGCTGCCCCAGTACACGTAGCTGCCCCAGTACACGTGGTGAGATCATCGAAAAATGTGTCAAATTTGACAGTTGAGATGGCTCTACCAAATAGTGAATAACTGTTTTTATAGGAAGAATATTATGGTTTGAGACTTTTAAATACGTCTGTGAATATATTAGGAATCCGTTAAGTATACTTGTATTCGCTGATTTCAAGTCGTAAATAAATTAATAGATGATTAAGTTGAGATGTTGGATTTAGACACATGAAAACTAATTCCGACACAACTTGAATTGGACACACACAGATCGTTCAAAGCTTTGTACAAAAATTGAAATTTGCTTAATTAAAAGCCTAATAGCTGTTAATTAAAACGTAATTAAGTAGTGTTCAATATTCGTTAGTGTTCTAATTCAAAGCCGTGTTGTATCCCAATACAGCTCACAGCAAACGGAATTCGAACACGTGGATGTCGGCATTACGTATCAGTTAAATTTGAAGCGCTCACGCAATACGACTCACCACGTGTCGGATGTTGCCACACAAAGTGACGGAATATAGGGATTTGGTAGGTTTCCATTCTAAAGTCTTTTTAATAAATATGGCAACATTTTGTGACGTTTCATCGTTGCTGACGCGTAGTGAAGTGTTTTGAGAGTCATGTGAAGGCAACAGAACTTACGTAATGCATACGGTTTTTTTATAGTTCTTCATTTCTTGATGCGTCCTTAATGTGTCGGAATCATAGTGGCAAAGCAGAGAGTTTTTTAGACTCTTTCTCAAGTTCATTTTTGAGTCCTATAAGTAGACCAGTAAAGTATCTTGGATACCAGAATTATCATACATAAGAAATCTGTTAAAATCTTGAGTAAATGAGGAAATTAAAAATGAACTGATTCTAAAAAATCTCTGGTTTGCCACTATGGTCGGAATATACCGCGTTTACCCTATATTCACAGACGTAGGTATTTGAAAGTCTCAAACCATAATATTCTTCCTATAAAAACAGTTATTCACTATTTGGTAGAGCCATGTCAACTGTCAAATTTGACACATTTTTCGATTATCTCAGCACGTGGCATGCATTGTCTCTCTTTGGATCTCAATATTTTCCCACTAGATGGCCAAGACCTAGTGTTTTTGCAGTATTTCTACACGCAAATGTATGACGTCACCATTTCAACCATCAATGAACGCATGGAACTAAAACAAAGCTTAATATAAAGGAAAAGCTGGAGAGGTGACGGAATTACCTACGATGTCGGAATATACCACGTTTACCCTACATTTTGTGGTAGGCTAGCCTACGCATTTGTAGGTACTGTAACCGTACCACTTCGTAGTCAAAGTGTTAAGTGTTAACATAGGTAGCCGGTAGGCCTAATTGTAAATACTAATCTTATTCTATAGCCATCATTAAATTCAAAACATGATACCAATTACCATTAGGTACCCACCGGTAATAGGATAGTAATCCTCCAGAGAGCACAAACCAGCGCTTTTGGTAACCCTTGAGGTAATTTGTCCATTTGTAAAGCCAACCCTTCATGTCTGGGTCAATTTTCTTTTCACTGGACATAATAAATAGAATGCTAGATAAATTATAACATTAACTTTGGTGATCTAAAATCATGACATTTATGAAAAAGATCACTTGGAATTAATAATTATTCAGATTTCAGCATTCTGATATAGCATACTTCAAATTGATCAATTCCTGTTCTTTAGCCACCTCACTCCCAACCCACAACATCTGAAAGGTTACAGACAAATGTACACAGACGTGATGCCAAGGCATGCACCTAAATATTTACATGGCACGCATGTGCTGACAAGTAGAATCAATCTTCCAGAAAAAATAAAAACAATTTGAATAAATTGAAAGATGGCATATTGTTACCTATGAAAATTTAATTCAACAACCGATACGAATTGAAAAATTTATATCCGTGAATTAAAATTCATATCCCTGAATTAACAGATTTATATCCGTGCACCTGTTTACAAGTACGCTCCCTATAGGTGGCGGACGACTATAGTAGGCTATAAATCCGATTCTGCTATATCGTTCTCTGATAAAAAGTTTGATTCACTCCTCAGCTGAAGCTGACCCATTCATTAAATTTCAGCAAATGAATTTCTGTAATTTCATCATTTAAGCTCTTGAAGACTAATGCAATGAGCGTATTGATACGTTTTAGAAAAACGACATTTTTCGACAAGATGTTAAAAGTATGCAGAACCTATATGATGGTGGTCTCTTGCAACCAAACATAAACTTGATGACTGGCACGCCTTAAGAAACAATACACGCAAACCATGCCAGAATTTGTGCTCGACTCGATAGGATGAACAGCATACCAAGGATAATAACAATTTTTGTAAGAATCTATGTACTTCAAAGATCCACAGAAGAGTCCTCAGATTACATTTATTGTACTCTCAAAATTATTTTCCGGCGTTCTAAAGTACGCAGTTATCCGCCGTAGACATGTACATAGAAAATCAATTGATTAAAATATATTATAAAGTGACAAAACTAGTATAGTGTGACTAGTTATGTATGCATACCCTGGTGTGACTATGTATGAAAGAAGTCTAACGTTCGACTCTAACTCCATCTCAAAGTGAGTTTTTCTCTAAAAAATCAGGGAAAGTTATCAGTGCCTACTTCGATAATATGATTTGTTAATATCTTACTTTCGGGTATATACAAATGAACAAAACTTGACCAAAATAGGTACCTTAAAATAACTCTTTCACAATCCAGAGGTTGAGCAGAAAAGAAGCAGGTTGCTCACTGTACACCAAACGAAAACAGTCGTCGTCCCCTCACTCAGATAAATAAATGGGTCATATTGTCTAAATATTAAAACGCTTTCTCAAACCCCGCGAACGCAGATAACGGAAGAAGCACTAATACGCTCTTTTTGCGAGGCAAAATGAACCAGGATGACCCAAAAAAGGGGTAAGGAGTGTATCGCTATTAAGACTCATCTCACTAATTTCTATGAGTGAGTTCGCAAGGTGTAACTCTAGTGGGCAGGGTGACCCGGATCTGCTGCTCGCCTCCTCAGCTTCTGCACGAATAAAAACTACTTTTTTTACTTTGTTCCTATGTTATGAATATTGTGCGTTGTGGTTCAATATATAATTGACAGACATGAGCTTACGCGCAAAATCCACTGAAATATTGAGATAACTCGAAAAATAAGAAAACAAACGAACGATTGTCTATACTCCACACCGATTAAAGATAAATGAAATTCTATATGAAAATACGTTGACCATGAAAAATATCTTCCTTCAAAAGGAAGAGCATGGAAATTGACTAGTTAACTTCTTAAAACCCATCTCATACACAGCTTCACTCATAAAAACGTACATTACAACACACAAGTCAATGTTATAATATACATAGGTATTCAAATTCTATGAAGGATTTATAACCAAAACAAAGTTATGTAAAGCTTCATTTTTGTGGTCAGAAAATGTGTTGTTAGTCATGATTTAAGCGACATTAGAAACGCTAGAATATACCTAATTCAAAGCTCATAACCAGCCTTCACCCTCTCCAGAAGGTTTTCCAGCGAGAGAGGGACAAGTCCCAAATACCTAGTGGCAGTCATTAGTGGCCGGGGTCAAGTGAGTCAACGACACGTCCTTAGTAGTGGCCGCCACCGGTGGCCGGGGTCAAGTGAGTCAACGACACGTATTGAATAGTGGCCGCCACTGGTGGCCGGGGTCAAGTGAGTCAACGACACGTCCTGAATAGTGGCCGCCACTGGTGGCCGCGGTCAAGTGAGTGAAGGACGCGTCCCGAGTAGTGGCCGCCACTGATGGCCGCGGTCAAGTGAGTGAAGGACGCGTCCCGAGTAGTGGCCGCCACTGGTGGCCGAGGTCAAGTGAGCGAGAGACACGTCTTGAGTAGTGGCCGCCACTGGTGGCCGCGGTCAAGTGAGCAAGAGACGCGTCCCGAGTAGTGGCCGCCACTGGTGGCCGCGGTCAAGTGAGCGAGAGACGCGTCCTGAGTAGTGGCCGCCACTGGTGACGGAGAAGGACTTCAGCGACGATGAAGCTTTCTCTTGAGGATCATTTGTATATTAACGAAAAAACTAATCTTCTAAATACACTATTCAATAAAATGATACATAGTACTTGCCGCGTACCGTGCACTAAAATTTTTACTGACAAAGATGAAGCAAATTTACAACGCTTCATGACACTAAATTACAAACTTGAATGCAAACGTGCAATTAATTTCTTTGAAATATTTGCGATAATTAGGATCAAGCGATCACAATTCAAAGTATATTCCACGCATTTAGTTACATTTTTATTAAATAACAAAAATCTCACCATTGACCCGTTTAGAAGTCGAGACACGAGGCTGGAAAGTGAAGAGGCCCAAGAACTTCAAACCTGCCCATTTAAAAGATTTTTTTTTAACATTGTGAATAAGAAGGGAATTCTGCACTAAAACAAAGAAATAATTCCATAGGCATCAGAAATTTTCAAAATAACTCTTCTGAAGAGATGATAATTAAATCAGATTCGTACAACAATTTTCAAAGAGAGAACTGTTCACGAACGACGTGTTATGTGACGCAGATTGAATGCAGTTGTATTTTAATATTACATGAATTATAACTGAAGCGTCTCAAATGAATATTACGCCGTTCATTGACCATAAAACATGAGAAAAATACGCCATATGAGTACTTGAAATACCAATTAACTACAGACGAGCAGACTAAAGACCACCTACAGTTAGTAAGGGTTAGAAATAGTTATGCGCAATGCTTATAAATCAAGTTGGCGCTTGCCACGAATAAGCAAATATGAAAAAATATATAACTCAGTACTCACTGCAGTGAGTGACAGAGCGCGCATTATCTAGTCGACGAAAACGTGAAGTCACGGACGGACATACGGACACGGCGAGCACAATAGTGCATTTTTCCCATAAATGCGGAAATGCGCTAAAAAGACCGAACTCGAGTTCTTCATTGCTAAGAATAAGAATAAAGTCGTTTAAAATGAATATGAAGGACATGACCTGACACGTTTCTGTTTTCACTGGTAGATACAACTGACCTGTCACGAGCCAAGTACTGTAATACGAACGACGAAGTCGTAGAATGAGTGCTAACTACATAAGAAATACGGGCGACGTATGTATACACTGAGTGCTAACTATATAAATAATACGGGCGACGCATAAATACATTGAGTGCTAACTACATTATCTTAAGACTGAACCCACCTGTTGAATCTTGTCTTGTCAATAAAGCTGTTACTGCCTCCTCTTCGTAACCTCAGGATGTGTTAACTTCTCTTGAAGTAGCTACTGCACTAAGGTGTCACTCAAATATAACGTACAAGAACACTAGTAACTCTACAGGTACATGAATAGACTCATCGTAATTACAGACAAATAAGGAACCTGAATCTCCTCAGATCTGAGGATACCGTAAGCAAATTGCGAAACGTTGAAATTAAATCTCGTTCAAGGTCCTATTATAACATCAATGATTCAAAATTTCTCTTCAATACTAATACAAGTGATATGATTTTTGTACATTCTCACTGTGTTTGTTTGTACCTTGTGACGAGACTCATAGCTTTAGTGAAATGGTACCTCAAACAGTTTATTACATACAACATTGGGGCGGTCCGTAAGATCTGGAGGAAAGTAAAGTGCCTATAACTAAAAATGGTGAGACCCCGATAGCAGTTGTAAACTCGTAACTAAGGCTGGAGAGACCTAGCTTGCAGTTTTAAACTGGTAACTAAGGCTGGAGAGACCTAGCTTGCAGTTGTAAACTCGTAACTAAGGCTGGAGAGACCTGACTTGAAGTTGTGTGTGGACTCGTAACTAAGGAGGATAATAAAACCAATCTTAATCACACTTCTTACACTTTACAGATACTAAACATGTCTGCAATTCCTCTGAATTTCTACACAGCTATTAGGGCTTCTTTGGACTGGTATCAGCTTGAACTTTCAATAATCAGTGAAACGAGGCAAACGCTTACCACCGGCAACACCAGCACAGCTAAATACTGTTAGCAATTTGTTTACTTCATCGTAACTCTGATTTTTCCATTCTAATAAACTCACACATTTGCTAATGTCATCCTATGTGAAGAAACATCCTGGCAGCTCGAGCCTCTACTCTGCATTTGCCGAAAAATTCTCGGGAAAAGTTACCTTGAATGAAACGCAATGGGTACAGAAGACATCCTAAGACTACAGATAATAGTAACTAAGTGAAAAACATCAGTTTAGGCGTAACACTAAGAGCTTGACACAAAAAATACAATTGCTCCTCAACTTGAGATATATTTCTTCTGAAGACATCTCACTCGCTACTGACGTTACCTCTAAAAAACTATTAGCTTCCTACAATACTCAGTTCTATCAATTTCCAAACTGTGGGCACAGGTAACTTTTTTTAATAAGTTCCTCACAAAATTAAATTTGGTACACGCCTAGCAAGCCTGAAATGAATCTATTTTGCTACGATCCTGAAATTAAACTAAAACGGCTCAATACATCAGGAAATGTACATACATAGGTTTGGGGTTTTAAATTAAATGCAAACTAAATTAAATCTAACAAATATCCTGACAACAAGGAAAGATTTTCCATAATCCAGGCGTTGAACGAGCCACCAATTCCATTAGCCAAATATACATTTTCATATGAGGAGAAATGTATGGAATCTGTACCTGATATAACTAGTGCATGAACAGCACATTCAAACTACCACATCGCAAGACCCTTTCGAGTAAGCGTTATTACAATAATGTACCTCTGATGTACAAACTTCCGAAAATATCCCTACCCAACAATAATCTGATTTCCTATGCCTATATCAAATCAACTGGTAATTACAAGCTTGAAAAAATCATGTGTAACAAATCTGTCTCACATCGTTATTTGCAGCTCGAGGTAATGTAGGCTGATAAGATAAGAAACTCAAAGAATGATGACAAGATGACTTTCAAGATAAAACTTACGAATTATAGAAGCAGAGATAGATGAAAAAGCGTTACTTACAACGTACAAAAACTTTGGGCATTCAGCCGCATCAATGATCTGTAGTTGAACAACTTAACTTACTTGATATTTTTTTTTCATACCAGAAATATTTCCAATGAAGATAAAAATTAGACTCAAGACGCCGTCATTATTCAGCTTGGGCAGAGAATTTGTGCGTTTAAATAAAAACCATCTTCAAAACGGATGTCTTCAAATTCAGGCATGAATATCATGGCATCAGGATGGGAGGATATTAGATGAAATTCAAATGCCAAAAAAATTTCAAATGAATCAAGAAAAGACATAAATGAAAAACGGATGAGAATGTTTACTCAAGCATCTAGTAGAAATGAGCCATCAGGCTACACCAAACCTGGAGATACTTGCGGCCACTGCCCTGGTGGCGTCAGGACGATGGCCACGCAAGACGGCCGATGGCCACGCATGAAGACTGATGGCCATGCATGAAGACTGATGGCCCCGCGTGAAGGACAACGGCCAGACATGAATACCGCCGCCTACAGCGGCTCTCCCAGGGCGGCAGCAGCTCTAATAGCGGCGATTGCTGCCTCCGCTGCCGGCGGCCGCCATTGTGCCATCACCACCATTGCCGCCTGATAATATCGACAAAACGTGGCCACATAAATACTGAATACGAACAAAATAACGTGGCCACATAAATACTGATACAATGGACAAAATAATGTGGCACAATAAACAAAACTAAGTTCCGAGAATTTAAATACTCATTTCAAATGTGAGCTTAAAGCAATAAAATCTTAACGTTCATGTGAGAAATTATCTACGGGCATTGATAAATATTATCAAGCAATAATATATGATTTACATAAAATAAGTGAGTGGGAGATCGTCCAGGTAGTTTGGTTCAAAAGCTGCCTTTAACTCCCTACTGTGAGAAATGGAGTATAAAGAGAGTGAGAGAATGGAGTATGAAGAGGGCAGAGAGACTGGAGTATTAAAAGAGTGGGAGAATGGAGCATAAAGAGGGTGAGAGAATAGAGTATAAAGAGAGCAGAGAGTAGATATAACTGACCAGTATATGGGTTAGAGCGCTGAGTGGCTTGGTTACGCATAGGTCCCCCACCGCTGCTCTGTCCGTAGTTGTTACCAAAGTCCCGCTTAGAGTTCCACTCATTACCCCCCGCATTATATGGGGCAGCTGAGGCACTGCCAGAGGAACCTTTAGCGGCACCACCGGACCAGCCGCTTCCTGCAGAACTGCCTTGCGCAGTCCAGTTGTTTGGAGTCGCAACCTCATTGCCCGAACTTCCAGACCAGTTGTTGGTAGCTGGAGCACTGCCAGAGGCAGCTGAATTACTGCCCCAGTTGTTTGGTCCCGCATTGGTAGAGGTGCCGGCGCCACCTTGGTTACCAGACCAGCTGTTGGGTCCTCCAGTTGGGGCATTAGGGCCCTGGTTTGGGGTCCAATTATTGGGCCCACCAGCATTGGGACCAGACCAGTTGTTTGGGCCTCCTTGGTTGTTTGGGCCTCCCCAGTTGTTGGGAGCACCACCTTGATTGTTCCCCCAGTTATTAGGTCCACCTTGGTTGTTAGGACCTCCCCAGTTATTTGGGCCTCCCTGGTTGTTTGGTCCACCCCAATTGTTAGGGCCACCATTGTTGCCCCAATTGTTTGGCCCACCCTGATTCCCACCCCAGTTGTTTGGCCCTGGGGCATTGGGCCCACTCCAGTTGTTTGGGCCACACTGGTTCCCTGGCCCACTCCAGTTATTTGGACCACCTTGATTCCCTCCCCAGTTGTTTGGGCCACCTTGGTTGTTGCCCCAGTTGTTTGGGCCACCTTGGTTGTTGCCCCAGTTGTTTGGTCCACCCTGGTTGCCTGGCCCACCCCAGTTATTTGGGCCCCCTTGGTTGCCACCCCAGTTGTTGGGACCACCTTGGTTGCCTCCCCAGTTGTTTGGGCCCATCTGGTTGCCACCCCAGTTGTTGGGCCCGCCCCAGTTATTGGGACCACCTTGGTTGTTTGGACCATTCCATGGGCCTCCCTGATTTCCGCCATTGGGTCCATTGTTCCCTGCAAACAAAGTCTAGAATTATTTTCTGCATAGAAAATGATATTAAACAGCAAAATATAAGTAAACTTATATGAAAGGCACAGAAATAACTAGCGTAAGGTGGCTACCTACTGAATGGAAAGGGAGTCAAACATGGATAATTCTGCTACCAAATGCAGCTCAAAAAATTTACAATAAAATTCACATTAGCTTTTTATTTAGTTTCCATTCTGGTTATGTTACAACCAAGACATACATACAACATTTTCCCACATATTGAATCAGTGAAGTTACCTCCAGGTCCCCAGGGTCCACCACCTCCTGGTCCTCCCTGGTTACCCCAATTCTGGTTGGGTCCATCCCATGGTCCTCCGTTGGACCGAGAGCTGCCACGGGCAATCATCGCATCTTTGCTAACCGCTCGCTTGACTTCAACACGTCTGTTGCACACCATCACTGACTTCTGAACTGCTCACAGAAAATAAAATGAAAATTTCTGCTGAAATCATTTGTATCTGAAAACAGTACACATACCTAATGCTAAACAAAATCGTCATTGTAGAATTGAAATTTGTTAGATGCCGACTGTTACTTATCACTATCTTTGCGTATAACCATCAGAAATTTGCTATAGCTGGAACACAAAACTCCTCAATAATTACTCTTCAGTTGTATAAGACTAACATTAACAAAGCTTCTTGTGCCCACTGAGGTCATCTACAAATGACCTCAGAATTTTACAAATGACCTCAGAAATGGCCACTAAAAAGGATTTCAACCATATAAGAAAACAATGCACAACAAATGCAAAAACATCATGTTAGCTAATCACCACATAAGATGATATCAGGTATGCAACTGATGGAACAATGGCAGCAACACTTTCAAACTTACGGCATGCTTTGTCAACAGAATCGTAGTCCTCAAATTCAACAAAGGCAAACCCTCTTTTTCTTTTGGTGACTTGGTCTAGTGGAATGCTGACCATTAAGACATCTCCAAAGACCCCAAATGCTTCTCTCAGATCCTGAGAATATTAAACAGGTATAAAAAGACATACATTTTGGAAAATTTCACAGATTGATACTAATCAATTTAGGGACATAATAAATTTTATATATACAAGACAATTCATAGGTAAAAAAATTGTTGTTTTATCAAGTGAGCATAATACCTATGTATTTATATACCAATATTACCTAAAGACATTCAAGAAACTTGCAAAGCAAGACTGAAAATGAATAATTCAAAATTCAATCAAAAATGATAAAGGAAATTTAACCAGTTACTATTAACTTGAACTCGGCAAGATAGTCACACTATATATATGCACCTCTTCCTCAGCTTCCTCTTTAATTCCTCCAACAAAAATTTTACGGCAGCCATTTTTATTTGGTTTCTCAATCTCGTCACGAGGAACAGCTCTTTTAGTGTCCACCTGACGGCCATCAATTTCATGAGGACGATTGGCCTGAGCTTTATCCACCATGTATGACTTGAGAAAAGCAACAAAGCCAAATCCTCTTGATCGCTTTGTCACAGGATCCTTCATGACTACTACATCCACAACTGTGCCAAACTGGCTAAAATGTTCCTCCAGTTTGTCAGCCGTGGTGGAATAATCCAAGCCTCCAATGAAGAGCTTCCGAGTATGCTCAGGTTCAATGCTGGATTTTGACTCCTGGAAAATTAGATCAAGCATTGAAAATCTCTAATACAAATACACCAGTCACCAGGTAATGGAAAATATCTAGTTGTTAACTTTTTAGCAATTTGAACATCAATGTTTCATCAAGCTTATGAGATGGATCTTTCACAAATATATACTATTCTTTCATTACTATATTTCAAAAGAAAAAACTTTCAAAATTACAGCATTACCATGCTATCACATCAAATAAAAAATTGCTCTAAATATAAAAAAACTTGCTTATTTTGCTTCAATATAAATTATTTAAACATGATTGATTTGGGCCACCATAATAAAGTAATAATATTTCACTAAACAAGTTCATGCAATTGATCTTTTAATCATATATAAGTACTTATATTATCAGTCTGCTTATCAGTCTGCTATTAAGTTCACAAGGAATTTAAAAGCAAAGAAAATGCCAAGCAAATTCACCATAGCAATATTGAAAATGTTTCAGAGTCCAGCTCCATCATCATCATAATGGAACTGGACTCCAAGAAGTCTTCAGTATTGATATGGTGAACTTGCTAGGCTTTTTTTTTTCTTTAAATTCCTTGTGATCTTTTAATATATTTATCATAACTTCATTTACCTCATCAGACATGGCAGCAGTTTATTCAGTTCAATTGTCCAAAAACGAATAATACTGTTTCACCTAAAAAGAGAAAGAAAATTAGAAGACATTTACAACTTGACAAGATGGAAAATTTCCTTCTCCATACCATACACTGATACAGAAGTCTCACAGCTATTAAACCTTTGTGTATGGATACATTACCCATTGTCAATACAATATATAATTAACACAAAGGGTTTATTAAGACATTTGTATAATTAACCTTTTCAAGGGCACACATAGATATATGCAGAAATATGAATTTCTTGAGCCACTATGAGAGAGTATGGAGAAATGAGAATTATGAGAAAAATTTACTTGTCTGGATTTTCTAAAATTTTTCATGAAGTTTGAGTAAATTGCAGATCACAGATGAAAATTTTATGAAAAGTAGTCAGCCAGTCACTACACTAAAATAATTCAAAATTTTTCTAAATTTATATAATTAAATGCAAAGGAAAGTAGGAAACTATGAAGCTGCAATTTTATTTAATTTTCTCCATCTACTTTGAATATTCAAATTAACATTGCTTCTTAAAAAATGCAGAAAAAGTGTTAATTTCCATGTCCAAGTCAAAACTTTCATTTAAATGCTCATATTTTAATTCCTGGACATGGCAGGGGTTGATGCTAATTGCTATGTTATGTATAAGTGATTGCAGAGGTGGGCAGTCGCGTGCTACATTTTCAGTAGCGGTAGCGGCGCTACATTTAAGGCAACGTAGCGGTAGCGTCCGCTACATATTTAAGCAGCAATACAAGATTTTGCTGCAACAGTGCTACCACTACATTTATAGATAAAGCCTTTAGATTTTACTTAATAGTATTAAATATTATTAAAAAACCAGCCTGATACATACATAATGAAAATTAAAGAATAAAACTGTACAAAAGATTTCAGTGTAATGTTGTCAACCTCAGCCTGTTACTAGTGTCAACATGTTAGTTGTTACTTGTTAAGTTGTTACCAGTTACCACTTACAGGTATTTTTTCATGTTTCAGTTTGCTTAGTTATTTTTACACAGTTAATTTTATGCTTCACCTTCCCTTCATG